CTTTTTTTGAAGCTTTTTTTTCTGGTAGTCAACAAATCTAAGACTTTAAATGTAAAGGACTAATTTTAAAAAGGAAGTAGAATAAAAATGAAGAAAAGATAAATGAAACTATGAATATATTATTGAATCTTATATATCGTTAGAGTTAAAGTATTTAACAGAAACAAAAGTTTGACTACTAATTTGTCTCTGAATAATACGTACTGAATTATAATGTGAGTCACTGGTTGTGCGAAAACGACGCTAAAATGGGATAGGACATTTGCTTTTTAGTGTTAAAAGGGTGGAAAATTGTTTAAAAATTTTCTCTTTTATGGTAGTTTTACCACAAGAATATTCGAATGCTTCCTTTTTTTATCTTGTTTGGTGGTCAGCTTGTCGAGGGACAGATTGTTGAGATGTCTCGTACGCTTAGCATAATCCGGGGGCCAGGGAGGATATGCCTGTTTAGACTGTCCACAGTCCCCCAGTTTTTCGTAAGATAGGAGTCAGGGACGAGCGCTTACCGTACGGGCGGCCATCTTGGTTTCTTATGTACCGAGGGGGCGGGCGTCGAAGCTTATTGCATCCCACGCGCCCTAAGTAGATTTGACACTCAATCCATCTGGGATGGCCACCCGTAACGGAAAGAGTTGGATCTGGACGATCTGCCTTTTTAAATAAGGTTGCAATAATTAAAAAATCATCCATGGGGCTAAGCTACAGAATATCGGGCCACTATTATATCTTCAATCAGGCAAGCTCGTTACTTGGTTTAGCTCGTTTGCTCCTTGGTGGCATATCAAGCTTGCTCTTTTGAGTCGGTTGCTCTCTGGTCACTGTCGTGGTCAATTTATGAAGTAAAAATTCATTCGGTTCATATGTCTCATCTCCTTTGCTCCGTGGTCGTTCCCTCAGCAGAGCAGTGGATCATTTGCGTGGGTCGTTTTCATATCGCCAGTAGCTTACCCACTTAATTGGCATTTCAAGGAAAAAATATAATAAAGCAGTCTTTTTATACCGCTGATATATTTTTACGATCGAATCACGTAAAAAACAAAATTAAACCACCATAAAACTCATCTGTTAGCCCCTTTGGGCCTTTTTACCGACCTGAATGTCAGATTTCAGGGTCTGAATGGGGCTACCTTCAGTTGATAACACTTTTAAGTGTTAAAACACTTATTTTGTTTTGGCTCTGTAACATGAAACAGTTAAAACACGTTCTAAAGTTAAACTTGAAATTCTAAAGTAGTGATTTTCTGGCAAATATAGCTGTTTCAATGAAGTTCTTACCAAACGCCCTCGTAAGGGAATGAATAATATTATGGAAACATTATTTAGAAACGCCTTACATTTTACAACTTTTTTTGTTTTATAGTCTGTTAAAATTTAGCAGCTAGGGCATAATTCCCTCCAAAAGTGACTTGTTTTTTTTGTTTCATCTGGTAAAATTTAGTACTCAGAGCATAATTCCTTTAAAAGTGATTCATATAGTTTCATAACATAACAAAAGTAAAGCTCGCGCTCTGGTTGGTCAGTTAGCCATTTACCATTTGCCTGTTGGTGCTGGCCAAGAAAAGCCAGCGCGGCGCGGTAAAACTGAGGCAAATTCCGCAAATCTCTTCTCCTGTAAATAAAGAGTGGAAGTTGAAGAAAATACCCAGTTTCGCTTTGAAGGAAAGTGAAAAGATCAAGCAACAAATTTGCCATGGGGAAATTCATCATTGTTTTCTTCGCGGCTGGGAGCTGGGAAGAACAATCGAGTGAGCGAAGTTTTTCTAAGGATTTAAGCCCGAAATTTAAGGTACATTTTGTGTTTTTATAGTGGAAAAAATTCTGTTTTGAAATGGAATTGCATCAATTGGCACTGTGTTATTGAATTTTTAGTCAAGTCCATGTTAAATCCAAGCAAATATTTTAGGAAACGTGCACAGATTCGAGACAGTTTTGTTCCGTAGCTCAGTGGTCGATTAAACGTTTTTGTTGAGTTGCGGACACACGAATAATTCGGGAATTAGAGAGCGAATTTTCACTGTTTACAGTTGCAGCTGTAGTTTTCCCCAAAAGTGTTTACCTTAATATTAAGATCACACGGACAGTCGTCATTCAGAATAACTACAAAAAACGTTTTGCCATTTACCCTAAAACGAAGAACGGTTCATTCAGCGAAAGAAAAACTCAAAGGCAAGCCATAAAAGGCATGTTTTGTTTACGCGCGGGCAGATGACAGCATACATCATCTTGTACCATACCGATGACTGACTCAACCGAAGGCAAATGGAAATATTTTCTCCCTTGATTATGTTATAAAAGAAATGGTAGACTTTGCAGCTGTGCAGCCATCGAGTTATGGATCCCCTTGGGAGGTTTGTTAAGCACTTAAGAAGCTAGAGTTGCTCTCGGCTACACCTCGAGCAACTCAACGCTTCTTTCGTGCTTAGCAACCTCCCACGTGCATCCATTACGCGATGGTTGCACACTCGACGTTTACCATTTCTTAAGTGTTTTCTGCAGACAAACGGAAAATTAATGCATGGAAATGAAGGAAATGTTCTTTCTGGAAAGGGACACGGAAATTTCAGAACACCTATACTCACATCCGCCAAAAGGTACATGGAAACCTTTACGCATATAACATGGAAAGGAACGCGGAAATTTCCATGTACCTTCTTAGTCAATGTGCAAGCGAGCATTGACGTACATAAATATAAAGTGACCTGAAATAAGGAATCAATCAAGTCGAAATAAACTGTGACCACTCTTGTTTTTATGGTTGTGTTTTCACCAGACCAATTTAATAGCTGAACATTATTTCTAGAGTTTGTTTTAAAACCGACTTTTATTCGTTAATAAGCTTGACAACGGTTTTCATTTTGAAATTTAACCGGCAATCTAAGCCTCTAACTCGGAGGTTCAAATTGCAAAAGCGCGCCATAATCAAAAAAGGCTGGGGAGGAATCCCTGGGGTAACTTTAGGAATTTTGGGGTGGGGATGTGCCGCTGAGAGCCTGGAACCTTAGCCTATACCAGAGC